TTTAAAGTGGGATCTTATCTATTTTGTTTGCTGTTTTTCATCTAGCATATATTTTACTGTCTCCATAATGGAAGGTTCAATAAGATTTTGTGTTGAGCTTTCTGATAGCTAATTAAGTCAAAAGCCTCAGTTGCTTTTTCATTCATCATTTTTATAGTTTCAACCATAAACCATGTTAGTTTTAAGAATTTGTCACACTTTTGAATGACAAATTCAACATTTTTTTTCTTTAAACTCTCTATGAACAGATAGCAAATGATGACCCATTTTAATTGGAGCCATAGAGCTGTTTGTGAGAAATTTGCTGCATATGACTCACTGAGGATTACCATTATTCTTCATGAATCCTAAAGACATATAACTTTCATCTTATTTCCTAAATTTTATACTAATTGCTCTGAGTTAATTATTTGTAGAATTATAAATTGGCCTAAATTCTTTTGGAGCAATGTCATTTGTATCACTGTCATTATTATCATCATTATCTTTAGCAAAAGAGCTAGTTGTAGTACAATTAGCTAGTAGCTAATTGTAGCTAGTAGCTAATTGTAGACTGTTGTTATTAGCTAGTAGCTAATTGTAGACTGTTGTTAAAAATCTGAAGCAGAAGAGTCATATTTTACAGTAGAATGCTTTAGAATGCCTTTTTTAAGCCACCTCTTCATTGGACAATAAAATATCAAAGATGATTTTAAGAAAAAATGGGCACTGACAGTTACCTTTTAAGGCTGAATAAAGTTTAAATGGTTATTTATGTCGATAATATAATAACATCAGAATATAAAACACAAACTATTAATACAATCTCTAGGCTTTAAAACTTCAAAGACAGGCTCCATCTGCTCTGGATCAGTGGTTCTTAATAAATAATTGGGATTCACCGAGCAAACTGTAACATCTGCTGCAAATCACATGATAAGATAATATTTCAGTCGGAAGGTGTGAGTGATAGACTGTAGCCATAATTTTGATTTTAGACCTGTGTATGCGTTCATCAAAAGATAAATCTTTGTTTGTTATCCGATTGGATTTCCATATAATTTACATTATGACCCCTAAAATGTGTTTTTTACTTCTGGATCTTTTGGAAGTGTGTGATGTGATATTATAAAAACTAATAAAATTTACCAATAAGCAAAAAATTTTGAAAAATTAATTCAATTTCTATGTTATAAGACACACACTGGCAAATGATTATTATGGCTGGCTACCCGCAGCACCCTTTTACATTTAAGTGTATGGGATTTCCCTGTAATTCTAGATCTTTGGGAATCCCCACATTAAGCAATCAATACAGAAATGAGCTGGGGAATGATTCTGGGTGATTTTCCAGCATAACTGCTGTAAAATACCAAAAACTCTCCTGACATTGCTGACGCAGCTCGGAACATAGGACTATCTCCTTTGCTTTGACTATCTAAATTAGGAAGTTGAAGTGAGGGCTAGTTCTTATTTTATTTATTTTTCTTTTCTTTAAAGATGCTCTTTTGAATATTATGCATAAAAGGGTACCTTTCCGTTTCGCCGGCGCAAATCTCGCCAAGCAGATTTTTATTGGCGACAACACACAGTATACACATAAAAATGTTGACAAATGTTAGTTTTAAGAATTTTTTGTTTTGAAAGGTATAAACAATTTAATGTTTAAAATTTTGTAAAAAGACATTAATTCAAGAATTTACTATGCTTTCATGGTATAACATTCTAATTCCCCGGTTCATATTACGTGACCCCAAGGATCTCATCTCAAGTAAACTACCCTACAAAGAATTTAATTCTATCAGTAATTATCTACATTAATTTCAAGTTAAATCTTAATTTGGAATACAAGGTTAAATGCAAGAATTATTTCAATTCGCACAAATAGCTTGCTGAGAAATTATGTAAAACCATAGTGCTTTACTTTGCTAGTGAGTTCTCATTAGAATTGATGAAGTTAACTCTTGACTTTGCCTTTTCTATATTTTTGCCATTGGGTGAGTGGTGGGATTGCATCCTAATTGACTTAATTACCGAAGGGGAATGGCCTTAGGGCATAAAACTGAACTATTTGGGTAAAAATTCTATGTAACTGTATGCCATAATTGAAAGAAACAATCAATCTGATAAAAATGGCTGCGACTTGTTTTGAAAATGAGGAGCAAAAGGTTACCAGCGAGATATTCTGTTGTACCATTATTGGTGACTTTATCGCCTGCACCGGCAAAACGAAAAAGTACCCATAAAGGTTCCATGGTTCACAGTTTAAGAAATGCTAGTCTACACAGAAATAAAATTACCAGTTTGTCATTTATTCACTGCAATAAATTAACAGCTGGCTTACCAATGAGTGATATTTCTTAAATTTGGCAAGGTTCCCACTGAAATTCATTATTATGTTTGTAGTTCAAGTGCCCACAGAATTAATATATTTATTTGGAATAATCATAATTTTGATAAGTCAGTGGTACTGAACAATAATTTTATATATTTGAAGATAGAAATAAATCCATTATTACAAAAAGAAAATTTGTATTTTCTGATTATATGTACCTTTACCGAAAAGTTGTGAATGTTGCCAACTTTGGAGAGACACATTTGTTTGGACATTTTTATGTCTGTGTGAGTATATGTATTTTTATGTCTGTGTGTCTGTGTGAGTAATACAAGCAAAGCTGCCTATTTTTATGCATTCATTAAAATAATAAAGCAATTACTTTTTCTGAGAAATCCTTTTCTAATTACTCCATGTATATAGCCATTATGTTTTCACTAACTAAAAAAATCAGATATTCCAGAAACTCAACACTGCACATCTGCCACAGTTATGATTATCAAAGAACAACTGAAATTTCGACATACACTTTATCCTGATGAAAATAACAGAGGGCAAACTCCACAGCTCCATTGAAGTTCATTACAACAAAAACAAATATACTCGATGCAAGAAGAAATACTATTTTTGTGATTAATCATGAAAGTGATGATGGAGTGTGTATTGCCTTCTATATTGTTGTTTATAAATATGGCAACCCTAAATTGAAGTTTTCAGAAGAGCAGATAGACAGAGTTCTCTTTGTTGAGACGTCTGCATTTTAAGTCTAAAATAAAGATCAAGTTTTTAATGTGTATACATTCTGATTGAAGTTCTTAATGAGTTCTTTGAAAATACAAATTATACCATGATCATGGTGATGTCTACACTAATCAGAAAAACTATCATTGAATTTCCATTCTGAAAATCTGCATGTACTTAAACCCTTGGGTGTTATGTGCATACCTGGATTGCAGCATAAATGCTTTTTGGCAACATCATAGGTTGCCACATAAATATTTTGTTACATGTTGCATTGCTGATTAATATTTTTGTGGCTTTTTGGTGGAGGTGTGGATTATCAGAAATTACCAACATTTTTAACCATATATATTGGTTGTTTTATTGAAATACATAAATTTTAGGATGATTCAACACTTTCAGCTGGAATAAAAATCTAAAAATGTGCAAGAGTACTAGGATGAAATTGTAAATTCATTTTTTGGAGCCATCCTAATGTGCATGTATAGAGAACAAGGCCTTGATTTTGTAAATTATCCAATTTCTCCTATTCTTTTTCCTATGCACTTAATCTAGATTTTAGGTCTACAAAAACCCTACAAAAAAATCCATTTTTTATTTTTCTTTCAGTTTTAAAGATGCTTTCCTTACAGTAAATATTTATCTCTTTTCTTTAGTTTGCCTCTCATCTCTCTCTTTTTAAAGTACATTTTTACCTAAATATAAATCCAAAAAGAGAGTGATTACTTATATTTATAGGAATTTATTAAAGTTGTTATTTTATTGAAGGTTTACCCTAAAGACCATCATTTAAACCCATCCAATATCTCTCCATGTTGTAATTTTTTTATCTTAGAAATAATTAATGATATACTATATGCACTATTTACTATTAAAAGCTTCATTCACAAATTTAATTTGTTTGTCACCCAAAATATCCATAAATCAAAACAATTTTCCCCATGGGAATTATTGCAAAATGAATTAATCCATTATTAAATCATAAATGATTGTTTAGAAAAGAATGCTTTGTATGTAAATTCATGATGCAGAATGGAATTCATTAAATCTGACACTTGCACAATATTTAACACAATACTAAACATTTAAAAAATATGAAAATTTGAATTAAACTTTATTGTATGTCTGTAAAGAAAAGTTGATAACGTAAGTGGAAATTAGTGAAGAAACCCAATGAACAAAATGTTATTGTTTGAGAAAAAATTCGTGTTCCATAAAACCATCAGGTAGTCCTTTTTTTTTTTTTTTTATGAAATTTTTCTCTTATTGTTGCTTGCTTCTACTTGAGAATCACTGAGCTTTTGTCCCATAAAAATTTTATCCACTATAATTTCTTTCTGTTTAGGTTTTAAAATAGTCTTAAAGCAACATATGACATGGTCTTTGCAGATATTAATGCTGCAGCTTATTACCACTTTCTTTATCAGGTGATAATGTTCAAAGAACTTTTTCTGTTTACCCCATTTTGCAAAAAATTTCACAGATCAAATGTCTAGGAGCATTTATCCTTCCACCTTCTTCTGAAATCACCTTCTTCACTGCATTAACTGCATTTTAGAATACCACATGTTGCTGACTTACTTGTTCAAATCTCTATATATATTCATCATTCAAGACATGTTTCTTTTGGAAAATATGATCATGAACCAATTTCTTCATGATCCAAGGCATTCGTAAAACAAGATTCCTCTGTACATGCAGAATAAACAATTATTTCTCTACATGCTGATGATAAATTCATTTGTAGTGTTCAGATTGAGATTCATGGTCTATAAATTAGCTAAAAAAGAATTTTTCAAACAATTATAGTACTATTGTAACATTTGTTATTTAAATAAATAAGTTTATAACTGTTGATATTTCATTCATTTGCTATTTCATCTGAATTTCATGTGGAAACTAATGCTGTTTTGTTGTAATTAAAATATATTTCTGTTTTTATTAGGAGAGTTAGATGATAAAATGAAATGGCTGAAGAACTTTGAACGTTTATTAGAAATTCAAAGAAGTATTGTATGGCCTTCTGTTAATGAACTTGATCCTAAAGCATTTATTCCAGATGTAAGTGCTTTGAATTTAATCCTATTATTTCTTACAGAACAATTTCATAAAAGATTCATTTGAAGAACATATTACTGGATATGTTCTACTAGATGTAAGCTAAAAAATTATTTTTTACCCTACATTTTTGTCACTGTAGCAGTTTTAATTCTATTTATTTTTTGTATTTTACAGTAAAACAACATTCAAGTTTTAAGCTAAAAAATTATTTTTCAACCTACATTTTTGTAACTATAGTAGTTTTAATTCTATTTATTTTTTGCATTTTACATTAAAGCAAAATTCAAAAGTCTTTTATTTGTTTAATAATCGCAAAATTGTCTTCACGCCTTGCATAGATTAGAGCTAGATCATTTTTGCAACTTGTTGTAGTATTTCAAATGCTTTTATTAAATTATAATTAAAATTTTTCTTAATTTATTTATATACAGAATTTGCACTCACTTGAATTTAATTAAGAGATTTCTATTATAATAATCGTGTTTTTTTATTATTTTCAAAATATTACTTGGTTTCTTGTCAATTGTTGATTACCTAATGCTGCTGACCAAAATTATTGATATCATCCCAGGTTACAATCAATTGCTTACTAATGCATTTTAAAATTTGTAAAATTTTAAAATGCTTTGTATTGCATATACTGTTTTTGGCTTCACATTCATTTTTAGTTTGCTGATTAATTATTTTAGTTAAATTTGGGAAATTTTTCCTTTATGATTCCTGCCTGTAAGGGTTAGACTGATAAATGTGTTAATTTATATTTTTCCTTGTTTAAGATTAATTTTATTTTTTACATCTATCAATTTAGAAACAGGCATTGTCTTTTATGTTTCTTGGTAGTTCGACCTCCTGATAAAAATGTAATGCAACTTTAAAATCCATTTGCCTTTAATTTTTTTCATATTCTTACATGTTTGAAGGAATTTTGAGACATATTTTGTTTTTGCACATCATTGGTTTGTCTCAAAATTTTGGGACAGCTCTCATATTAGTTTATGTAGTTTTTTGCAATAGATGTTTGCATTAACAATTTTTCTATTTTTGTGCTATTGGATTATTCCAAATTTAATATGATATTTGAATTTGTTTAGATAATAAGCAGTCATTAAATTGATGTCCCCCTAAAAAAGGTATATAAGCTCAAAATAAAATAAAATAATAAAAAAAAAGATAGATAAAATAACTGAAAACTTACTTAATTTCCTGCACAACTGCCTTTTGTTGCTGCTTTTAAAGTTGTTCCACTTCTTCCATGCTGAGCTCACTTTTTATGATCTCTGGTAATTCTTCTGCATTTTCACTTTTAACTTCCAGTACCATGATTTTACCTAAAGACAGAGTACAGTGGATTTTTTTAAAATGTCACGCTGCTAACTGCGCCGTTACCTAAAATGTGATACTGTATATAAAATTGTGGGGTGCGTATTGCACCCATGATCGTGTGTGATGAAGAATATGTTTCGATAATTAGTTCGTGTCCAGCAGTAAAAATTATGTTCAATTTGGCCATGTTGGTCTATAAGTCTTCCCTTCGAATGTCATTTTTCTAACTACATAGTAAAGTCTTTCCAATTTATAACACAGAAAACTGCTGCAGCTTTCTTTAAGTCATCTTATTGCATATACACCTACCCCCTTATTCAGCTTTAAAGTCATTACCTGTCCTTTATTTTCCTAATTGTTGGTAGTAGTCATATGCTTCCAATTACAGAAATATTTTAAATGATGAAAATATTCATATTTTGGAAGTATCATATAAAAAAATATTATTATTAACAGATAACGAAATATAACTTTTAATGCGGTCTTTGGGTTCCTATATTTATATTTGGAAAAATGTTGTACTCATTATAAAAAAAAGTAAAATAAGAAGTTTGACTTCTTGATGACAAAAATTGACTGGAATATTTAATTTCAAAATTTGCAGTTTTTGATATCATTTTCAAAGGGATTGGTTATTCAAGTTAGAATAATTCAAGGAAATAAAATTAAATGAAGTGCAGCAAAAAATGTGTGCAAAATAATAGGCTGGTACAAAGAAATCATGTGATGTCCACATCAGATTTTTAACTTAAGTATTCATCTGATCTAAATGCCTTAAAGTCGTAAAAAGGTTTAAAACATTTAGAGTATGACGCTTCTACATACAGCTCAAATAAATATATGCTTTTAAATATTATCATATAACACTCATTTATATTTTTTTTCCTTCTAGTCTCCACAAAATTGAAATGTTTATATAATATATTGTTTTACTTCTTTTTAAACAACTGGCTTATACGTTTTTGTGATTTTATTTTCAGTTTCTTAAGCAACCTCTTTCTAAGCAGCCATGTGAAAGGTTAATAGTAAGTCCAAGAAGACAAATTGTTTTAGAAGGAGCACTTCAACTTCTAGGTTAGCTGTTGTATGAAAATGTTTTTCATATTTTTTAGTTTATTTTTATATGAAATTTGAATATTAATGTATATGTCTTTATCACATTTAATATTATAACTCCTTTTTATCTTATTCAAGTTCTGTATAAAAAAATAGCCTGCAAAAATAGTGCAGACTAAACTAACCAAAAAGTAATATTCCAGTGTTCTTTGTCATTAATATTTAATGTACTGTACATGAACTTGCTTTTATAAACCCTCAACAGAACTCAAAGAAATCACAGACTCATATTGATTGAAATGTATTTACATGTAGGCTGAAAATCGGGAACTCACCAAGTGCACCGAAATCCATAGAATTCTACTTCGCTAAGCTGTTAGTTGATGCATACCTCACATAAGCACACCTCGGGAAAACACATACACAGGTGGAAGTCAAGCTGCTTAGAAATTGAAATCTAAATATTTTGCATCTTTGCCACGCTTTAGCTTGGTGACATACAATACAATTTACTTAACACTGAGCATACTCCTAGCCTTAAAGCTGTAAGGGAGGTTCAAACAATAAACAGTAACTGTTGTAAATAATCAAAAAATTAAATAAATAGAAATAAAAATAAGTTAAGAGTTTATAAATATTTTGAATTTAAACAGTAAAGGGTACGATGTTGATACTGATCGCTTCATCTCACCATTTGAAGTACGTAAGTCCACCATTCTGGTTTTGTCATCCTTTCCAGAGTAAGCTTTAATAATTCTGCCTGCTTCCAATATAGTGCAGTGAGATTATTGCTGTTAATGAGCACCATATCACAAAGCTGCAGATCTCATTGTAATTTGTATCAGTTAGGTCCCTGCTGTAATCTAGGTTATACTCTCTACTCCAGCCTTTCCAGAAGCATTGAAACAGCCTCTGTAAGTTCTGCCAATGACCATAGCTCAGTGTTTCTTGAATTAGGTTAGGCATTGGGAGAGCACTCAAACCAACTACAGTTAAAAAGTGACTAAATGTTATGCTTCTTAGTTATTAGAATCACTAGATGCTGGTACAAACAGCTAGAATTAAGACATTTAATTTGTGTTATTAAAGTTAAAAATTCCTAAACATATCTAAATGTTCCTAAACATATCTTTAAATGCTTCCCACTTCACAAAGTCCTCAAAATGAGATGCACAGGGTAGATTAAATGACCTTAATATTCTCTGAAAAAATAAATCCTTGAACAGATTTGTCAACTCTCCTGATTCTTTATCATACACCCGCCGATCCAATTTGTAACACATTTCTCCCGACTTTCTCTTATTCTTAGTTTTCTTATTTGACTCTTATTCTGCATTAATACAAAAAGTTATAAATGCAGAATGCCTGTTCTCTACTGTTTTACTGGAGCACAACCTGCTACTGAATACATCAGATCATGCTGCAGTTTTATTTAGAAAAATGTGTCCCTATAGCGAAATCTGTAATAAATGCTCACGTGCAAGGATAAAAAAATAGCTGCAATTGTTAAAGAAATGGTTACGAAAAATAAATCTTCAATTATGGATTGCATAAAACAGCTCCATTCTGCCTTTCTGTGAATCAAAATAATAATACCAATGCAAAACTGTATTCATTTGTTATTTCTAACTTTAATCAAGAGTTTTCTGAAATTGAGTGTGATTTATTTTCTGTCCCCACTTTAGGAGGAGATTCGGAAGGCTTAAATATAACACACTAGTTATTAAAATTTTAAAATAAAATGCAATTCCTGTGGATAATTGCTTCAGCCTTGGTGTGGACAATCCACCAGTAACGGTAGGTAGGAAGACTGCAAGCATCTTGAGAAAATTCAGATTTGCAAATTATGAGCTGCATCTGTCACATTTTAAATTTAGCAGCTGAAAAAAGATGCAGCTTTTTTTGTGAATAAGTGTTGATGAACACATTTTTTATATTTCTTATTATCTTGAAAAGAGTTCTGAAAGAAAGGAAGAATTTAAACAAATCCAGCAGCTGCATAATATTGAAATAAGAAAAATTATGAAACATGTATGTACATGCTGGTTAACTTTAGAGAAATATTTATCTAGAATCCTTGATGAAGAAGACCTCCTTTTTACATTTTTTAAGGAAGTAAATGCTCCTGAAATTAAGATAAAAAAGCTCTATTGAAAGTTATAAAATACCTACTTATATTAACTTGGATAAAGTTATAAAAGCAACAAGGATTAACACCCAGTGGAGTTTAATTAAAAAATTGAAAGGTGCTAATGGAATGTTTACATTACAGTGAACTGTCTAAAATAATGTTGGCCATCGTGACAATTCTCCATAGTAATGCAGAGTACGAGAGGATTTTCAGTGTTGTTACCAAAACGAGGATTAAATTTAGATCCAATTAGTAATGCCACATTAAAAAAAATTCTTAGCAACAGCAGGCCAGCAACAAAGAGTTTGTTTTTTAATGAAAGCAAAATCTGCCGCTGTTCGTACTATGAAAACTGATTAAAATATTATTTTCTATTAAAACATACAAATAATAAAAGTGTTTCTTACATTTAAGTATTTTTGTATCATTTTCATTTAAGAATTATTAACTAAATTTTCAGATGTTAATTATTTACTATTTAATGTTAATTCATTATTAAAAAGTATATTTTTATTATTAAAAGTATATTTTCTTTGTATATATTTTTATCATTTAAAAATCTCTTTGTTTGGGAAAATTCTCCCGATTTTTGATTGTTGTAGGTTGGCAAGTATGCTTAAAGTTGTCCTTCATGTTGAATACAGATAAAGTCTCTTTAGCTTCTACAAAGTTGATTGCACAATCACTATGAATTTCACATAACCTCTGTACGTTATAAACTCTTAAATATTACGGGGAATGATTTTGGCAAAATGTCTCCAACCAGTTCCAGATGTATTGCTGTATTAGTAGAACAAATGAAGAGACATTCAAACCATTTAATGAATTTTGCTTCTGTACCAGTGCGATATTTGATGTTAAATAGTCGGCAAACCCAATCCTGTATAAGAAAAAGCTCGACTTTGTGTCACTCTTGAAGCAGGTAAATGTGCCATTAACTGAGTTGCACTCTCTGCTCAAAATCTAAACACATTGTTGTAAATACTTTCTAATGGCATTTCTTGCATTCACAATCCAAAATCTTTGTTCTATGACAGAAATGAGTAGTTGAGTATCTGCGGGAAGATAACTTTCATGATAATGTTTAATAATCAAATATGTTACAATGATTCTTAGGCAAAATTATGGGATATTCCTGATTATCTGCAACAGTAGCATTTTCTCTATCTTCCACCTGTATACATTATCCCTTAGAAATCTAAGAAGAGATTTAAAGACAAAGCTTATGTGTGTTCTTCAAAGGTTTACCAGTCTTTAAACAGAATAATTGCCCAAAAAATGCAATTCATTATACAATCCCAACAATCATAAAAGTAACTTAATTGTTTCAATAGGCAAATAATGCTCAGAAATTATAGTAATTATTACACTAATACTGTTTACCACACTAATGCTGCACATTGTTTTAACCATGGTGAAAACTTAGAATGTATACTAGGCACTTTGAAATTAGAAACATTTGAAATGAAATTTTTTTTTTTTTTTTTTTTTTTTTGGTTAAAAGTGATGCAACATGTAACTCCAGTCTTGGAAGAGACTGGCTCTTTAAGTGAGCAACTCTGGTTTTTGTTTCAAAAAGGTTACCTCTGACTGAGGAAATCAGAGCCAATAGTTGTAAGGTAGATAGAGCATTGTACAACATTTCTCTGAAACCTTACAAAATGCATGAATAGAGCATTGCACAATAAGTTTTCTCTGAAACCTTACAAAAACTGATGAATTTTTATAGTTGTTGGTTTCAGACATAACTCTTACCTCGGAAATTATAAGCTTGACTGTCTAAATAAAAACATTTCCACCTTTTGTTTATCTTTTTGAGGCCCGGTGGCACAGTGGCTAGCCCATCGCACAGCAGCACCACAGGTCCGGGATTCGATCCCCGGGCTGGACAAGGTCGACTCAACCTTTTATCCCTTGGGTCAATAAAATGAGAACCAAGTTCACTTGGGGACTAAACACTGGGGGTCTTACAACAAGCTGACCATTTGTTCAGGACATATGCTTGCTTACACATCCCGGGGCCCACGGTCATGAAAGCAGATTTCGGGGCACTGCTGACCTTGGCCCACTGTTGCACCTTGCCCATTTAGGGCTGTTGCGCTGCTGAGTTTAGTTTATCTTTTCAATAATGATTTCATCCCAGCCAAGCTCTAAACTCCACAACTCTCATAATAATATTTTGGCATATACATGGCAGGCATTAACCATTCCATTTGATCGAATATTTTTGCAATATCTGATAAAATAGTTCTCTTGATGAACTCTTTCTTTATCATGAATGCATTCTGAAAAATGAAATGTATCACTTATGGCTTCCCAATACATGCGTTCACTTTTTTATCATTAGTTACCTCCAGGAAAGTAATGGATTCTCATAGCCACTCAAGAATATTCTCTAAAATAGCTGAATTATTCAATATATACTTTCTTAAGCAGAATCTCCTTCTTTCCATCATTTCAGGCAACTGCTAAATTAAAAATTTAGCCTCCTCTTCACCTTGTATCTCTGAAATCATCCACATATTAAGTAATCATCATCCACATATCATCCACATATTAAGTATTAAGTAAATCATCCACATAAAAGTTGTAAAGAGCAAGTTTGGATGCTGAAGGGCAATGACTTGTTCATCTAACACAATTTGTGTTATTACTGTAGTGTACACATATGGTGCACAAGTAATTGCATATGTTACAGTTATTAATCTAAATGTATTCAACTAGGATTGTCACTCCACAATATTTGCCAATTTGTATCTTTTGGTGAACTAAAATCTGTCTAAACATCTTCTCTACATTGGCACATACCACAGCTTTAAATGTGCTGAATCAGAGTTATAAATAGTTCTTGCTAAACTTGGTCTAAGGTTGAAGGTCATTTGATGTTGTTTTAACTGAAGCATTAAAAGCAATCAAATGTGGATCATGGTGCTGTTGTAAATGAACAATTTGTTATGAATGGATTTTACAAAAATAAAGAAATTCTGTAGACATGGTGATAAGAATATATACATATATGTGTGTGTATTACACAGATCCGTAAAAGTCCTTATGCCTTAATAAATATATTTTAATTCTCTGGAGACCTTAATAAATATATTTTAATATGCATAAAATTGAAGTAAATGCAGATTATGCATTTTAATTGTTTCTTCCTTGTATGAAGCAAAAGAAATATCGTAATTGTGAAACATTTCAGATATCATATTTCAACAAAAATATCGATTTTGACCACTCCCGAATTCATTTGAATAATGTTTTTGCATGACATCTACATGTAAGGACAGAATTAATGACTCTTTTTTTCCAAAATGGTTTGTAAAATGGATTCAGAAGAGATTTTGTTCATGACATATGTACCTACATATGTATGTATCTTGCATAACTAAAAAATGAGTAGCCGTTGAAATTTTATATATGGGACAGCTACAACACCTCCCCTTTTTTGCTGCTATTGGTCGTACCCAACATATACAGTCAAAAGTCTTTAATCCGGACTCGTCAATTTTGGATGCTGAAGGGCAATGGCTTGTTCATCTAACACAATTTGTTTTATTTTATTCAATCCAGATTCCGGATTATCAGTTTTTCCAGATTATAGATTTGGGGCTTTAAAAAAAAAAAAAAAAAAAAAAAAAAAAAAAAAAAAAAAAAAAAAAAAAAAAAAAAAAAAAAAAAAAAACAAAAAAAAAAAAAAAAAAAAAAAAAAACAAAAAAAAAAAAAAAAAAAAAAAAAAAAAAAAAAAAAAAAAAAAAAAAAAAAAAAAAAAAATCCAGACATTATAATAAAAATAAAAATATGAAACCGTAATTTATGAAATAAAGAGGTTATTATCTAAAGGGTATCAATCTAAAATTATGATCTAAAGGGTATCAAATCTAAAATTATGATCTAAAGTGTATCAAATTTTACATAAAAAAGCTTAATATTTATTTGTTTATTAAACATTTCTTTCAACGCGTGCATGCAAAAAGCCTACATTACGCATAGTCGAAATAAGAAAATTGCGACCAGAAAACTATTTGATGTGTATTCGTGATATTTATAATGACGAAGGAATTTGATTTAAATTCATATCAAAGATGGAATACATCGAGATGAAATACTACATTTAGTAAGGAATTATAACCCAAATAAAATAAAAAACATCTGCCTCTGAAGATAATTATAGTGTTGATAGATCAACTTCCAGTTCATTGCGTGCCGTGACGTCCCCCCCCCCGCGCAGAGCAGCGTGAAATTTATAAACAAATTTCGGAATGGTTAGAGAAACAAAGGCCATTTTTTGCAGCAATTCCACTTTTTGTTTGATGGACATTGAAACATGCTTTCACTTTGTAGATCCTTTGGCAGCTCCAGAATCGGAAATTCTTTTTGACATAATCAAAAGTTCAAGCTTACTTTTATAAAATTGCTCTAACAGTCCGCAAAAAAATAATAAGCCAGATCCAATTAGAAGATTAAGGAACAACACAATCTGGAACATTAGCTAAAATAGATAATTAGATAATTTTAGCTAAGCTTATAACGTCCGTTATACATTAAACGCGCATGCGTAAAGGTATTACTCTGCGTTGTGCAGAAAGTTTGTAGCTTTGAGGTCCGGATTAAAGACTTTTGACTGTATATATATTGCCACTCTGTTACCTGGTTCAGTGAGACCAGTTCTTTTAATCTTATAAATGATGCATTTTTTGCTTTAAAAATGATTATGTTGTTCTTTTATTCTGGTTTAAGTTTTTATGGCTTTAGTTAATCTGCATGCAATAGTTGTAGAGTTATCTACAATTCAAAAGTTTAAGTTGCACTATGCTTAAGGAGGTCGCCACATTTGAAACACTTAGTAGAATAGTAAATTAAGTCAGCTTGTAATTAAGTTAAGTTAAGCTAGTAAATTAAGTTAATGATCTTCTGTGTCTTTTTCCCTAGTATGACCAAAAGTTAACTTTAAGTCTTGTGCACTGAAAATTCTATCTTCCTGCCTGCTGGCTGAATTGCTTGTTTTTGCATAGAGACTGTAATTTTAATTGTAAAAACTGTTTTTTTAACTGTATCTGGTATTTTAGTTTTTCCTGTTTTTTACAATTTTTAATGAAGAGATCGAGTTTTTATAAGAAGTTTATGTAAGAAGTGAATTTATTGAATTAGAAATCTATTTCTAATGAAATTTAAGGAAATAAGTTTAAACAAAAAATGTGTAAAATTTCAGAGGCAGTGCAAGTGGTGTCAACAGTATTTTTGTTGTTTTGATATTTTTATTTTATTTGTTTTTTATTTATTTCTTTATTAGATAGTGGTAAACCAACGGAAGCATTTGTTCTGCTATTTGATGATATGCTACTTATCACAAGAAGAAAAAAGGGTTTGCATAAGAAAGTAAGTAAATTGAAGAAAAACATGTATAATTAACTGTTTCTAATGATTAATAATATTGTATTGAGACATTTGTCGGGGTTTGTCGTAATGTGTTGGGTATTACTTGCATGCAGTATATCTGCAGTTATTGTAAAGAATCATATTTCATATCTTAATATATTACTATTTCAAATTAAACCCTTAAAAATGTACTTTGTAATAAAAATAGGATATTGTGTAATGATATATATGGCTATTATTAATAGATGTATCATTGAAAAAAAATGTTAATCATTGAATTTAGAAATAACTGATAAAACTTTAACCATTAATCTTGTATTTTGTTATAGATTGAGACCTGCTACTTATTTTCAAGCTGAATGATATTGAAGTTCTGAAAAATAACTAGCATTCTGTCCCTTTTAGTGTCCTTAATGTTTTGATGATTATTATGATAGTTTTTATACTGTATTAGCTTGGTGAAACAGCTAACTGAAAACATCATGGGCAAAAATGTCACAGGGAAAACAATGCAAGGTGAAAACATATGCAACATCATGGGAGAAAAGAAAATAGGGAGAAAATATCACATTTCTAAAGCATTGTTGTTGAAAATAAAGTGGTTCAAAAACACCATTATAAAAAATAAAATACTTACATCACATGGCAAAGCCTGAAAAACATCATTGACATGATTTTTAGGCTTTGAAAGTTGTAAATTTATGTTTGTGTAATGATTTGTGAGCTCAAGTAGGAATGAGAAATATTTTTAAGCCAGTATTTAATATTTTTGGATTAATTAATAATTTTTTAGTTTAAAAAGCGATGAAGGTCTTAAGTATTCAAAAGCTGAAACTGAGTAGAAGTTTAATTCTACATATAGTGATTAATAGAATTTTAAGTTTATGTACTTAAAAGTCATTATTTAATTAATTTTTTTAAAAAGTTGCACTGGCAGTTTTTCATGAAAAATATAGTCTTCTGCTTTTCATTATTTTGAAAAGCAGAATTATGCAAAACCATAGTACTTTTAAACAAAATATCGATTCCATTTATTTGTATAGTACTTACTTTTTTACTTCTTTATAAGTTATTTTGGCAAGTTAAAACATGTTTCTGAATAATTTTTAAATCTCTCTTAACTATCTAAAGAAATATTAAGAAAGATTAATGCCTATAACACAATTCTAAAAGTATACTTCTTGAAATTTATGCGATCAAAAATAACTTAATTTTAAAAAATCATGTTCAGTAGTTCCTTGGATTCTAAATATTTTTCAGTCTCAGAAATAAAATTTAAAAATCTCAGAAATAAAAAATAAAATTTAAAATTTGAAATAAAATTTTATCATGTGTATAATAGGGAAATTTCCCTTCCTTCATCGAATAAAGTGGCTTTCTCATCATCCAAACAATAATTTCTTTTATTTATGTACAAAAATATTTAAAGAGTCTAAAAAAACTACAATACCGATATTTAAAAAGTGGGGAATCTTTAGTTCATAAGTGGTAATTAAAAACAATGTACACTGACAAAATTTATTGTATATTGTTTATTACTGTTTAAGTAAACAATGTTCTCTTTTTGTTCAAAAGCTTTTATTTGATTCTTTTTGTTAAAAATAACATGTGGCTTGCCTGACAAATTTTATTTGACTTTAAATTATTGATACAGTATTACATCATAACACTTGCTAACATTCGAAAATTTGGATATGTAAAAATAACTCTAAATGGTAGTTTTTGAAAATAGCAATATTTCTCTTTTGAATTATCCAGCTGCTATTTAAATTATTCAGTTAACATTAGCCATCAAGAAGGTAATAAGAAGCCATATTTTGCAAGGAATGAGCAGTGCTGGCAATAATTTTATACAACCAGACATAATTAATTTAACAACATGAATGTATTGCATGAAAATAGTACTGCATTTTGCATTCTTTACCCGTAGAATGCTATACCAAATTATCAATTATCTGTGTAGGGAAAGCTGTTTTGTAAATTGTGTGTTCATCATTGCTTTCAAAATCATTGCAAAGAATTTACTATTTTTTAGAAGAAATTCAAATATTTGATGCACTAAATCTCATCTCTAAAGTCTGAAATAAAGTTAAAAGATTATTATTTATAGATGGAAAAACTGAATCCAGAAATTGCAGTTGAGTTCCTTTCGATAAGGAAAAAAGTGTTGGACTTCATAGAAATTACTTATGGTGTTGATGGTTTGAAAAAAAATGGAGGAAGAAAACCCAGAAAATGGAAAGGGGGGGAGTGCATAAAAGGAAATAGTAACGAGGGCCCACTGTGGGGCTCTAGAAAATGTAAACAAGTTGTTTAAGTGTATAGGTGATTAAGTTCGAATTCAGTGGTATCAAAACTTTATTCACTGTTTGTTCAGTGCCATATACTATGAAAAAATATCAACATACATCCAAAAAATGGGGGAAAGGATACAATAGAACATTTTACCCAAGAAAAATGGGGGGGGGGAAATCTTCATAAATTTTATTACTATTTTAATTAAATCCTGCTTTGAAGAGAACATAGTATATTTTCAAAAACTTCTGAAGATTTCCTTGTACATGTTTGTTAATTACAATTTCAGAAAATCACTTTAAAATCCATGCATATCTATTCATTAATCAGCAAGCATAATTGTGAATATTTATGAACTGATAATTGTGATACCTACGTCTAGCTTAAAATGTTTGATTACTATTGTACAATTTCATGAATGTATGTTTTTTTATGAAAAAGAGATTAAAATACTGTGTTAGTTATTATTCGTATAGCTAATTTTAATTCAAAGAAAAGAAAAATGTGAATTAAGTCATACTTTTTAATGTTAGTTCATTAATAAAATGATATGTTGCTTAATCCATTAATGATCTCACTATTTTCTACTTGAAGGAAATGAACAAAGATTTTTTTTTAATGTATTCAAGTCTAAGTAAGAAAAAAAATATAACAGTAATTTTTTTTTTTTTTTTTTTTTTTTGTTGTTGTTGAAGATAAAAATATTGTGAAAATTCATCATCATCCAAAAGATTACTTTTAAATACATAGAAATCTATCAAATATTTGTTATAAAATGACCCATAACATTTATTACAAACAGTTATCATTTGGCTACCACAAATCTTTCTTTCTTTTCTTTTCTTTTCTTTTTTTTTTTTTTTTTTTAATTTCTCTTGATAATGTAATTTGTAGGATTTTTTTCATTTCACTTGAAGCTAACCTCTGAAAAAGAGATGGTTGGCCAACACAATAAGTATATGCATAGACGGAAAATTCACAGCCTTTCATATTTTAAAAATTGCATCCTTCATGTTCAGATGAAGGCTGCGAATTTTCAGAATATTTTTCCTTCTTTACAGCAACACTTCTTTAAAAATCTGGGAAATTTTGGGGTCTGCAGCAATCTTAAAGGGTTTCCATGCAATTTATTTAGCTACATAAATAAAATTTGTCAAACTAGGCTGCCACCGTAAAATGGTTCATGCCATCCATATATATGTTGCAGTTGCCATTCTCTATATCAAATGTGGTTCAACGTTCTTCTTTTTCCATTTTGTTAGCATGTATAAAAGGACCATTTCCTAATCTGTACTCAAGAATTGTTTCAGCTGCATGAAATTTCAGCTCATTCAATTTCAACAACACCATGTATTATCTAAAAAGTTTCCAAAATATACATAATTATGTGAAGAAACTTCCACTACATTCCTGTTCCCTACTGTAGATTATATTTTCTTGCTACCTGTCACATAAACATTTAGTGAATTGGAAAAGTGGTGTACTATTGATAATTAGCGGAGCTTTGTGCTTTTTACATCTTATGACAAATAGGTTTTTTTTTTTTTTTTTTTTTTTTTTTTCTCTCATGGGTATGATTTAGTTTCTTTAAAGTATAGTAAGTAAGTATGATTTAGTTTCTTTAAAAAATCATTTACATAGGCATCCTTTCTGAGGAAGGAGCTGCTGATTGCTTTAACCAATTTAATTATCTACTAACTAAATAGAAATGCTACTAACTTAACCAAAGTAAATATATTTAGTGTCTTACAAATATTCTTAAATTTATGTAACTCTTAAGTTTTCCTTATTTTACAGAAATCATCCATAACAGAAAACTGGGCATCTACATGTAGTAATAAAAGTACTTCTGCTCATGAACCTGGTTATAAATATATTGTTTATAAACAACCCCTATCCCTAGACAGGTTTTTTATACATGATGTTACCCCTCAAGATGGAACAGGTAATATATATATATATATTTATTTTTAAATAATATTTAAATGATGTTAATTATCTAACATTTTTTTAAGTTTGAATTTATATGACCAAAAAAGGTATCCCCATATATTTTCAATAGCATTTTTTAAAAAATTTTACGTCAGTTAGTTTTTTGGTACCTACCTATTGTCTTATCAACTGTGAAAGTAGACTACCATCAAACCATAAATTGGTGGAGATCCCTCCAAAGTTGCTCCATTGCTTTGGAATTCTGAAGGAAGTGATGCCTCTTTAGTTAATAAACAATCAGTATTCAAACCAGTTCATTTGTGTGCTCCATAAAAAAGCTTTCTTTGATTTCTAGTATTTTGTTAGGCATTCCTATTTTAATGGAAGTTCTGTTTAAAATGCTATGAGTACAAATTTTTGGCAGGTAATTGTGCCTACCTATTACTGTTTTATCGGCCATATTCAATTGACTTTATTGTGTCCATTAATACTCACTTTTTTGGGTGGCAAAATTCCATAATTTTGAAAAAATCCTCTGCTTGCTGTTCTTAGAAGGGAAGTCCCAAATTTTAACTTTTTTTTCCCTTTCAAATTGTAGGAAACAAAAGCAGCACTAACAGTTAATTTATGTTCTTGTAAATAAAAATAAAATGTGGCTTATCAAGAACCATTCAGGAAACATCAAACGAAAGAGCAGATATTATGAGTATGTTGTGATACCACATTTATCCATAATTGGTGCTAAACCACTGGCAACAGTTTCATGGCTGATAGAATAAGTACTGTTTTTTTTTTTTTTTTTTTTTCATGTATATGATGCAAGTGGTTTTTTTTCCCTCTCTGTATCTTTTTCTTTCTCTTTCTTCTTCTTTTATTATTTATTTATTATTTTATTATGTATTTATTTGTCTATTATTTATTATTTTTACTTTATTTTTTATTATTTATATATTTTTGATTTTATTTTATTTATTTCCAATTAGTTAGTACTTTTTTTTTTTTTTTAGTTTTCAATTTCCTTAATTTTTTTTTTTTCTTTCGCTATGCCTGTATGTTTGCATGAATAATCCTTTGAATTGCAAATTCTAAGGATCAATTATTAGATTTTAGTAGCAATATGCAGCAATAAATAATGCTTATCTAATATACTGCATCTTGTTAACTTCTTCCTTATCGTTTCCATCAAAATTAAGGGGGGGGGGAGTTCTGCGCACTATTTTCTCTTGTCTATCATATTTCCGGACTGGAGTGTTCAAAAGAAACTTACCAAAAAGATTAAAACTAATCCATTTCTTACTCCCGTAAAAATTTTTATTTCTTATTTTACATCGCAGATGACAGTACCCTTGATTTCAAGCTATTCCAAAAATTAAAAGTATCAAATCCTTTTTATCATATTGATCATATGCTTATTTTTAAACAGTTTTCTAGAATTTTTAAAAAAAGTAGGCACCTTTTTTACTTTTTTTGTTGAAAATTATGCGATTATTAAGGGTTTAATGAATGTGAAAGTGTGACTAAGGTAATTAAATTATAAAATTATTTTGATGCACTCTCACATTAGTCATAACTGTCGCATTCGTGAGCATTTATTAACAAGCAGAAGTGACTTAATTACAGCATTTATAATCTATTACATTCAATAAATATTATACCTAATGGCAATTTAAAATGATAATAACTATTTTTATTTACATATTTATTTATTTTTTTTAATCCCTGGATGTATATCAGTTAGAACCTCTCACTACCTTTTTTAAAATTTTTTTTTGCAATTAAAATAATGTAACTTTTATAATAATATAAATATTTTAGAGTAATTTTTTTATTTTATAATTCCTTCATGCTACTACTGCATGCATCAATTCATTTAAAAAGACACTATTGCTCCATATAAAATTTGGATGTGATGTATTTGAGATTATTTCTTAGAATTCTGTAACTCTTCATAGTTAGTATTATATAAGTTACTTGTTTTGTAGAGTCATTAGGATTTTTTTGAGGCCGGAGAGATGAAAAATTAACAACGCCTTCGCCGGGAATCGAACCACGGATCTCTGGAATACCGGTCCAGCGTGCTACCGGTATAGTCACCAAATCCTGGGTGCAGAGAATCATCATCCACAACCCTTTTAGTTCGGGTGCCACTTGTAGAGTCATTAGGATTTTTTTGGAGGCCGGAGAGATGAAAAATTAACAACGCTTTCGCCGGGAATCGAACCACGGACCTCTGGAATACCGGGCCAGCGTGCTACCGTTACACCACGAAGGCACGCTAGGGAAGTGAGAGAAATACCTTATAGTTTACAATAAAGTAAACAATCATATGATGTGCCTTATTTTTCAAAGTGTTTCAGCTTAAAAAATTCAGTAAACCATCTTTGCCTAAGTTATCATCTAATACAGATTTTAAATATGTTACTCAGTTTTTTTGTTTGTTTAAATTTGATACCTTTTAGCAAAATCAGAATTCTATTTTGCATTCTTCTTATTTCATTGCTAAGTATCCTGGTATTCCTTTGAGTATTATTTTACTGTATTCAAAATTTAGAATAAAGTTATGTTTTTAACTTGGAAATTTGAAACAGTCAGGCCTATTTTTAATGCTAAAAGGCTTTCAGTGATTTCATCTAAGTCATTTTAAAAAGCAAAAGAGAGATTTCGTTTGAAATGGTTGTTTGCTTATTCATATTTTATCATTTATTATTTATGTTTATGTACATATCCTTTTGTTCAAAGTATTCATTGATAAAGCAAGCTATTCATTTGGAATTTGCAGTATTTGATTTAAGTAGTCAAAGATGTTGCTGTATATTATTTAAAAATAAGCACTTCAGAGTCTTCTCCCCTCATTTACAATCATAATATGTGGTATCATCACTGCATAGGGAGGATTAGAAGATTGTAGAAAATTAGATAACTCATCATATTCTGCACCAAAAGTTACTATGGTTACAAGGTAAGCCAGAATGTAGGAAATATCTTTGAAGTACCTATTCTAAAGTAATAGATTATAGCTTGCTCTCTGAAGCAGAAATATATTAAGTGGTGTCATCCAGGAAACTCCAGTATGTCAGCATCTTTCAATTTTTCTGGATAGTGTTAAATTTTAAGCAAAAGGCAAACATTAAATTCATATTTAAATTTTGAAAAAGTGCCAGCTACTTTCAAATACTTTGAGTAATTATTGAAAGGTGAACCTCGTTTTGGCAAACCTTCGGTGTCTTAAAGCAAAAAAAATTATATCAAAAGTTAGGAAATAAGTGCTGGCTGATTATCAAATAAGTGCAGAGGTAGTTGAAGAACTGATCGCTTCCAAAGAATTGGTCCACACCATTTTCAAAGAAGATTAGTGAGTACGTTTATGTGCATTGAGTTTCTTCTGTGAATTTTGATGGAGATCAAAGAGAATGCAGAAAGACAATTCCAAGCAGCTGTGTTTTAGAAGATTATGGTAGATTCCAGCTTTGTGTGAAAAATTATTACTCACACTGTGAATTTTGATTGTTCTATCTTATCAAGATGAGTCTATGGAATCAACGTTCTCTAGCAGTTCAACAAGATGACAATATTGCCATTGTATAATTGATGCCAAAAGAGGCATTCTCCCAATGTTTCCAAATACTGTGGGAGTGCAAGAGCAAGCATGTGTATTCTGATAGATGTTAGTTTAAAGGTAACTACTTAATAATGTTTTATATTTCAAACAAAATTGTCTTAGACAAATTTTCTGTGAACTTCTTGTTTATATTGTTTTGTATATTATTGTAATCTCATATAATATGTAGATGAACATATTTTATTTAAGTTCATCTACAAATTATATAAGAAACTATTTCCAAAAAAGTATTCTGTGTAAGCATTTGGTCTGAGGAAGTCGTACTGATTTATACTAATGTTTTTGTTTTATTTTAGTGAACAGCCTGAAAAATGCTTTTGTTCTAGTGTGTTTGAACAGGTTTCAACAAATTGTAACTGTACATACATTCCAAGCTCCAAATGAGTCTGTAAAGGTAATGACTATGCTATTTTTTATATTCATAAACAAATATGTATCAAATCCATGTAAACTAGTATCTATTAAAAAACTATCTTTATATGTAGCATTTTTTGTAATATTTTAAGACTAAATTCTTTTTAGTTGAACTATTTTATGAAACTGTAAACTGTAAGTATAACATAAGAAATTAATACAACTGCCAGAAAATATCTATAATCAGAAATTTAGAAAATATACATACTTTTCATGACAAGTTTGATTAGATTTAAAAAGAAATATCAGTTTTAGCTGGGAGGGAATACGAGTGTAGTAAAATTAAGATACTTGAATATGTTCTAACTTCTACACTTTTTAATAATAATTTTAAATTTACATTAAAAAGTGTATTACTGAGTCTGTATGCATTTTGAGTAGAAATATTAAAATAACATATTATGGAGGAACAATGAGTAGAACACTTTTTAAGGTTTAAGAGGAAATCTCTCAGAATTTTAATATCTTTTTTGAGATAATCTCATTTCATTAACTAGCTAAAATAAGTAGCAAGTATGAATATTAAAAACATGCAAGTGAAAAACTCATGTTTTAGAGCTAATATAATAATAAATATAAGATAGTTACTTGAAACAGGATAACCTAATAAATTGTCTTATTTATTATTAAGCATGTTATGTTTTCAGCAGTTATCTCCAGTGTTTGGGGCATGTTATTTAATTATATATTATCTTTCATTTAAGTAAAATATATGTTGTATAGTATGAATAATCGTCATATTATCAGAATGAAAGTGATTACAATGTAAAATGTTACAAACATTATAAATGATCAATGGGTAAATGATCAGTGGGTCACTCATTGATCAATAAATGATCAATGGGTAAAGGGATTCATACAATTCATGATTGGCATAAGGTTTTTAACACATTGATGACTGGTTTGTTTGTTGTTTCTTTTCAAGTGTTCAGGTTTTTCTTTGGATCCTTAGTCATGTAATCACCAGTCATATGATAAATTTTAAATAGAACTTAAAATAATTACTGATGTTTTGTTATTAATATATTATTAAATACTGTATAGTTAGACATCTGAATATCATAATAATTTTTTCATATTCATATAATTATAATCCATTAATAAACTTTATTGAAATATTAAACTCAGCATAAAAGCTTAGCTTGATTGAATGTGTCTTGTTGTGACTTTTCTGACAGTAACATCTGATAAACATCTATAAATTTTTTTATGGTCAAGAGATAACAATAGTATATGTCATTAGCTTAGGCCATGGACATCTTTGATTAACTTGGACAATTTGATACGTGACAATACAAACTTGTCCAGCTTATTCCAAATTCTTCTTCATTTTGAAGAAATTCCACCGCCTCCCAGGAGACAGATTTGAGGGTGTCACACACCTATATACCCATCCACCAACTTCTTGAGAAAACTTTCAGCTTGATGTATTTTAAAGATCTCCATGCCACTTAAATATCACAAAAGCCACAAAGACATCCTACACTTATAAACAAACACCCAAGCCTTCTCCACTATTTGGACCTGTGGCCAAAGGATATGTGAGCTGCCTCTTCTTCCAGCATGTTAATAGTGAAGAGTTTTGTTGATTAAATGTCAAGATATTAACTCCAAATTAAATATTGTAGCATATATTTAGCTTAGTATTTATCGTGAATGGTTGTTAAAAAATGAATTGATTAAGATTATTTCCAAAACATTGAGTAATAATGAAAGTACCTGTGATTGTATGAGGTTAAAAGCACATCAACATCTTAAAGAATTCATTATATGCTTTTTAATACGCAGAAGATGAGATGAGATGAGGGATGCAGCTCGACCCTCCTGGCAGACTTTATGTCGCCCTATGGCCTTTTTGCGGGCTGCGCCAGAGCAAGCTAGAAACAACGCCTTCAACAAACAGACAAATAAGCAGACGATGAAATATATTTAAGTCATCATTCTACAGTCAGACTATCTAATTTAGTAGATTTTAAGACATTATGTTTCATACAGATATAGCAAAGGTTTAATAACTAAAACATCTAAAGCATATATGTAATAAAAACAGTAATAGAAAATATTATGGTGCCTAACAAAGGGGGACAGTATACTGCTTCTAAATGTATACTGTGCAAAAAAAAAAAAAAAAAAAAAAAAAAAAGGGAGACAGTTCTGTATCTCCTATTTTACTGGGTCAATTTACCAAATTCAAATTCCGTTTTTCATGTTTCGAAAGCACAATTTAGGATATACATTGGTTTGGCAACTAAGTAATTGTGGATTTCACTCGTAGATGGCTGCAGTTGAATTTTTAGGCTTCCAGAGGTAGTACAAATGTAAAACATATTTTGTTATTTGATAGTTGGCAATTCAGCTGTCAATCAGTAAAAAAGTTTTTTGATCGGTTGCATAGTTTTCGTTTGGCATTCGTTGAAAAATGGAAAATCAAAAGGAACATTTTCGTCATATTTTACTTTTTTATTTCCACAAAAGGGAAAACGCATCGCAAGCTCATAAAAAGTTATATGCTGTTTATGGTGACAAAGCCTTAAAAGAACGGCAGTGTCAAAATTGGTTTGCCAAATTTCGTTCTGGTGATTTTTCACTCAAAGTTGAAAAACGCTCTGGTCGTCCAGTTGAAGTTGATGATGACCTAATCAAAGCAATAATCGATTCGGATCGTCACAGTACAACACATGAGATTGTAGAGAAGCTTTATGTATCACATACATGCATTGAAAATCACTTAAAACAACTTGACTATGTTCAAAAACTCGATACATGAGTTCCTCACGAACTGAAAGAAACGCATTTAACGCAACGCATTAACAGCTGCGATTTGCTAAAGAAACGTAATGAAAATGATCCATTTTTAAAACGACTGATAACTGGCGATGAAAAATGGCTTGTTTACAACAATATCAAGCGGAGTGGAAAAGATCGTGGAGCAGGCCAGGTGAACCAACTCAAACAACATCAAAAGCTGATATTCATCAAAAGAAGGTTTTGTTATCAGTTTCGTGGGATTACAAAGGAATTGTCTACTTTGAACTCTTACCACCCAACCGAACGATCATTCTGATGTCTACATTGAACAACTAACGAAATTAAACAATGCAGTTGAAGAAAAAGCGGCCCGAATTGACAAATCGGAAAAGGTGTTGTATTCCTATCATGACAATGCAAGGCCACACACATCTTTGGTCAACTCGGCAAAAAATTATTGGAGCTTGGTTGGGATGTTTTGCCACATCCACCATATAGTCCTCACCTTGCACCATCTGATTACTTTTTGTTTTGATCTTTACAAAACTCCTTGAATGGTAAAAATTTCAATAATGATGATTATGTCAAATCATACCCGATTCAGTTTTTTGCTAATAAAAAACAGAAGTTTTATGAACGTGGGATTATGATACTGCCTGAAAGATGGCAAAATGTCATTGATCAAAATGGGCAATACATTACAGAATAAAGTTATTTAGTTCCATGAAAAAATTGTCTTTGATTTTCTAAAAAAAAATCCGCAATTACTTAGTTGCCAACCCAATATTAGATTTATATACAGCATCATTCTAACATAAGTATTGTGACACAAAATCGGGCTTTTTCTGAAATGGCATACTAATTTTTCCATATTTCGATTCTACGACTCAAATTATGCCTAAATAGTAAATTTTGTAAAATTTGGTGCGAAATTTACGGAGAAATTCAAAAATTTATCTTCGCATATTTTTTCAGTTTTCGCCAAAAATAATTTACATGGCGAACTTCTTAATTTATAGCAACCTATTTTCCTTTCCTTTTCTTCATTGCAGATGAGTACAAAACAAGTCATCTTTCAGTCTTTTAAATGATTTTAACAAAGTGCATAAACCACATTTGGCTTTATTACCGCTAAAAAAAAGATGCCAAATTTCAAAACGCTCCAATATGTAAATTCAGGTATGTCTTAAAAAATTTTGAATAAAAAATTCGTCATTTTTTGTAGGTGTGCCTAGAAATACATCTATTTTAAGTGATGCTAAAAATTTTATAGGTTATAATACAAAATGTTTTTTAAAAATTTATAAAAAATATTTTAAAATACAAATTTTTAAAAGAAATCATAAAACATGCGCGAATTAGACTAAGCCTAAATTTTGAATTCTGGAACAAGGACTCAAGTAAGTTTAATATTATGTCGTAGAATCGAAATATGGAAAAAATTGGCACGTCATTTCAGAAAAAGATCAATTTTGTGTCAAAATACCTATGCTAGAATGATGCTATGTATAAATCTAATGTATATCCTAAGTCGTGCTTTCAAGACTCTAATTATAAACTTAATATGAGAGATAAAGAAAGAAAGCAGTATAAAAGGCTATCAAAATATTAGCAGATGATATGTCTCTTGATTGGGTCATATTTTACTTTGTTGACCTCAGCTTACTAATTGAAGTTATGTCTAAAGAAGTTTCGTAAATGGATGCATAGTTCTAGCAAGGAAGGTTCCTGCATAGTGTATGAATTGCAGAGATGTAGCTTAATTGCAAGATTAAATATAATAATAATAATAATAATAATAACATGTGTATAGTTTATATAAATTTTAAATATATATATATATATATATAGGATATATAAAATAGGATTTCTTTGCTCTTTGCGAACCAGCAACCTTTAATTAACTTTTTGCAATTCAGGATCTTCCCCCTAGACTAGTACTTTCCAGAACATTCGTGCCTATTACATAACCCCTACTATAAATAATGAATGCGCGCCATTTTGCGGGCAGAAGCTTTTCTCTTCCTCGGCTGTTAGGATCTATGCTACTGCGCTTCTCATCTGCTTTCCTTTTGTTAGAATTAGTTATGACACAAGTTTAAATTCAACCATACTTAGTTTAAATCACTGTTGAATATGTAATTTGGAGAATTTCATATGAAGTAAAGCCTGATCTATGGTGAAAGTTGAATCAAAGCTATGGAATAAAGATGTGCACTTAAAAACTAAATC